ACATCAGGTGCCCAGGAATATTACTTTCTGTTACTATCCTTGACACAGGATCTTTCACTGAACCTGGTGGTAGGCTGATGGCCAGCTTCCTCCTGTGTCTACCTGTACCCCATAGCTGGTGTTACAGGTGCACATGTGGCCACACCTGCCTTTTACATGGATTCTGGAGATTTGAATTCAGGTCCTCATGCTTACTCAGCAAATGCTCTTACCTGCTGAGCCATCTCCTCGGCCCAAGGATTGTCTTGTACTAATGTACTAACATAAATTAGTTAACAAATTCAGATTCATGCTCTGGAAAAGCAGAGACTTGTTTTTTTCTAAATATTCTAATACATCTGCTAGGACTGAATTAGAAGAGTACAGTTACAGAGAGATTAGGGAAAACAGATTGTACTCATGCACGATTTAGCATTTTTTCCACAAGTGCTCTTCAACTACAATCATCATACAAATAACTCCATCCAGTCCTAGCTTGTCTGGTACAGTGCTTGGTGTTTGATGGTTTTCCTTTATTTCTGTGTCTCTCGAGATATTCTGAATTTCAAGTTCATGAGGAATGCTAAGACTTTTGACTTAACGTTAGACCTATAATTTCCATCAGTACCAATGTTAAAGTAAATTTTCCTCAGTATCATTAATCTACTTCCTCATCACACGCAATCTGTTCTGTTGTGGTTCATTTTTTCATTTACATTTTAAAATGAAATTTACTTGTTTCCCATGACTTGCCAACTATAACCAGCTTTTCAGTCCTTCTAATAGGATTTGGCCTCAAGTTCAAATTGGGAAATTGGCCTTTTGGTTTAAATATTAGATTCCCCTTGTATAAGCACCTGTAAGCCAGTTCCTAAGAGTGACCATTGGGTCCCACTGACCCAATCCAGTCTTTCAATCTGCACTGGAGCTAGACTAGACCATCCCTGTGTGGGATACTGCCTACCATCTATAATTCTTCCTTTACAATAATCATCAGCCCAGCTCTATTCCAAACCCTACCCAAGCTTTCCAGGACATTTCTGACCCATGGACACCACTGAACCCAAGTCTTGGAGAGTTACATATATTTTTTACATTCCTCCTTTTTGTTTTGTTAAAAATGCACCACAGAAGGTAAATAGAAAGGCAACTTTATACTGAAATATCTCCCAAATCCAGAGAGCTCAGAGAGTAAATTTTGCATTGGCTTTTAAACGTCTTATTTCCCTCCATATGCTTGACCCTGGAAGACTTCTTCTGAACACAAAGCCCAGAAGTGTCTGGGAAGACAGGGAAGAGTCTCCAGCAAATAATCACACTCTTATCCAATGAGCTGGAGAGTTTGCCTCACTGCTCTAGAAGCTCCTAGGTGATCTCCACAGCTTTTCTTTTTATTTTTTACCTTTTTCTTGATGTATTATTAGAAATAACTAAATATTTTATACAAAGATTAATCCACATATGTATTGCCAAGTAATATCTTCCCCAGAATAGGACCATCAGCATTAAAGAAAGAAAAGAGCTATTAGAATAAGGGAAAGATACATTTTATTAATTTTGAAATAATTGCCTATACAATTAGAATAAATTGGAGTTATTTTTGTGTTGTATAGATGAGTGTCTTGTCTGCATGTATGTAGGTGTACCATATATGTACAATACCTGTAAAGACCAGAAGAGGGTGTGATGTCAGATCCCCTAGAATTAGAGTTACAGATGGTTGTTAGCCACCATGTGAGTGCTGGGAACTGAACTTGGGTCCTCTGCAAGAGCAGCCACTGCTCTTAACTGATGAGCCATCTCTCTAGCCCCCATAAATTGGAATTTTTAATCAATAACAATATAATTAGGAATACACCACTTGATTACAAGATCTGAGTTCACATTCAGAGGGAAAATACATGTGTTGCAGTCAAAGAATTCCAACACCCTCCACTCTGGGAAAGCATCTTGTTTTTTAGATTTCTCTGAGGCATTTTCACCCCTGCCTCTGACCTGCACCTTTGTCATTTACCCGCCCCCCTTAATGTTGTGTCAGCCGCTTAAAGTAGGAGACTGTGTTTGGGACATTTTTATATTTCCTATTGTACCTGGATTTCAGGTGTGCTGAATATATAGGTACTGTATTTTCTTGAATGTCCATAAATTATTGTGTTCATCAAATTTGTAGGTGACTGTGAGGAGAACCTAATAAGTTAAATGTCAGAATCAGAATTGTAACATTTCTTCTAAGGCTGAAAGCCTTACAAAAATAAATATCAGCTATTAAGACTTAACTTCAAAATTCACAATAAAGAAAGTAAGAGGTTTGTTTAACAGTGTAATATACACAGTCAGAAAGAAAATTAGTGAGCTGTAAGAAAACTGAATTTTCACCATCCAAAATGAATCACAGAGGCCAGAAGAAAGGAAATGCAGATGACACGAGACCAAGAGAGTATCTGTTAGCTTCTCCTCTCTGTGACAAAATGCCTAAGAGTACCAACTTAAGAGAAGAAAAGAAATAAAAAGAAGAAAAGACAAAGTCTTAAAAGTAGTCTGAGATGGCAGATGACCATCAACAAGCAGAAGTTATATTTTAAAGTAAATATTTACAACATGAGTCACTTTTAAAATATATTTATTGATTCGAGACTTTCATACAATGTATTTTGCTCATATTCAGGCCCCCTCCACCCCCACCCCTGGCTTCATGACTTCTATCATTGTCCTTTTTTAAAGGCTATCGAGTCTGCTCTGTTTCTCACAGGCTCTTAGGTATGGATCTCTCCCTTGGAGTTTAGTCAACCTACCAGGCATTCCACTGGTATAGAAAACTGACTCTCTCTCCCAGCATCTATCAATTGCCAGTAGATCCTCCGCTAGGACTGGCGCTTTCTGCCCCCCTCCCCCATCCATGCTGAGCCCATGTCTGGCTTGGGTTTGCATAGGTCTTGTGCATAGCGTGAGTCATTTTTTGACATCTTAACCTCACTTTGAAGCCTGAGATGACACGTGATTAGCTGGGATACAGGGTTTGAAGAACTGTTAAGTACAAGAGGTGCGTTCCGTTTATCCTACGTAACACCAAGGAAAGGAGCAAAATAATGTATAGAAGGTAAAAATAATATTTCTGACTAGCATAAGGAAGAAATGTCTAATAACTTGAATTGTTATAATCTGGAGTAAATTACCTTATTTAAGAAGTGAATAATTTACAGTCAAAGTGTTTGAATAAAAGACTGATACATTTGTTCATCAATTTTTGTTTTGTGTTTTGAGACAGGGTCTTACCATACAGCTCAGGCTAGTCCTGAACTCATGATCCTCCTTCAAGTGCTGAGATTTTAGATGTGCACCACTGGCTTCGTTTGTCAAATATTTATTAAGTGTCTACTGTATACAATACACTATCCACATAGTATAGCTATATACTATATATAGCTATAGATACTGAGGATATATTTATGAACAAACACACAAAGTCCTTTCTATGTAGCGTTTATAACTGCTTCAAGTAGAAAGATAACAAACACCAAAAATAAGTAAATGTTGTACTGTGGTGGAAGATAGTAAGTACTAAGGTGACCAGGAGAGCTGAGGTGGGTTAGCAATTTCAAATGTGGTGGTCATTTAAGAAATATTTTATTACTTCTTTGAGAATGTCATACATTGTATTTTGATCCGATTCAACCCTCCCTCAACCTCTCCCAGACCTCCCCCCACTTCCCTACACACCCAATTTTGTGTCCTCATATTTCTTTTTAAACACACTGAGCCCAATTAGTGCTAGCCATATGCTCTTGGGTATGTGGCCATCCACTGGAGTGTGGTCAAGCTACAAGAGTCATACTCTCAAAGAAAGCAAATTTTCCATCTCCCAGCAACTGTCAGTTGCCAATAGCTCCTCAGCTAGGTGTGGGGCTTAGTGAACACCCTATGGCTCCATGCAGCTTTTGTGCTTGCTGTCACAACCATTACAATTTCATATGTGCACCTGCCCTGGTATGTCCAGAAAACATGGATTCCCTATATTCATCCACCACCTCTGGCTCTTACAATATTTCCACCCCCTCTTCTACAATGATCCCTGAGCCTTGGGGGAAAAGGATATAATACAGATGTCCCATGTAGAGCTGAGCATTTTGCAGCCCCTTAGTCTCTGCACATTGACCTGGTATGGGTCTCTGAGATAATCACCATCTACTGCAAAAAAAGAAAAAAAAAAAAAAAAAGAGAGGTTCCTCTGATGAGGTTTGAGAGATGCATTAATCTGTGGCTATAATGATAAGACATTAGGAGTCAATTTAATACTATGTCCATTTAGCAGAATAATGGTAATAGGTTCTCCCCTAGGATCTGAGACCTCCCGAGCCACAGATTCTCAGACAAGGTGCTACGGTGGGGGGGGGGCATTTACTTTGCTAAAGACCTTAAGGAAGAACATGAGTGAGCTATGAAGACATAAACAGTTAATAAGCTGACAGGAGTCACTTCCAACTCTGTGAATCAGCCTTCTTTGAATTTCAAAGTAAGCTTGGAATTTTAGCTAATAAATTATTTTAATTGTTATAAAAAATAGAAATTAGGATTACTTCCACTGTGTGTTTGCTAATAAAAAAGCTGTTCATATTCATAACAGTAGAAATATCTCAAAGTGTATTTAAGAATACTTTGCAAAGTAGTTCTTCGAAAATTCTTTAAAGTGTGCTGTACCTTCTGTTGGCATCTCAGAATTGCAAGATTAGAACAAGTGATTAGTAGAAGCTTGTTAGAGATCTAGGTTGTCATCATGGGAAAGATATGCAAAGAACCTTCACAGAGCATTCAAAAGTTGAAGAGTAGGTTTACTCTTCAGAATCAGGGTGCTTTTTGAAAAAGGAAAAATAAAAAAAACATCCAGTTTCTTTGATTCTAAAAAAACAGTGTTTGTCTCTGAAGTTGAATTCTGTGGTGTGAGCCATTTGAAGCAAGGACTTTGAGATACACAGAATGAAAAGATAAGAACCTCTTCCTGGTTGACTTGTGGTCTTGTGTTGCAGGCAAGCAAAAAATCCCTTTGGACAGTTAAACCCAGTGAAGGCACGGTTCCTGCAGAAGATGACATTTCACTGACCCTGACTGCCAACCTGAATGACATAGTGACATTCAAAGACACAGTCATTTTGGATATTGAACACGGCAACACCTACCGGATTCCTGTCCAGGCTACAGGAATTGGATCTACTATTGTTTCAGATAAGCCCTTTGCTCCAGAACTCGATTTGGGAGCACATTTTTGGTAGGGAAATATCAAGGAGTAGTTTTTATAGATAATCACATGTGTCACATAAGATGAGCATTGCCTCTCCTTTAGAAAATCATTTTTAATTAAATAGAAATAGTCTCTTGTATCTCTCCTGTCCCATGCTCACTTTCTCCTTTCCTGATGAATACATCAACCAGAGGGAGATATTTCCTACTTGTAGCTTGGTTACATGAGCCGCAAGAAGACATTTCCTCATCATAACCTGGTGTTCTAGTTTCCTTTCTATTGTGATGAAAACACTGTCACCAAATCACCTTAGGGAAGGAGTTTATTTCATCTTGCACTTCCAAATCACGACCCATCATTTAAGGGAAGTCAGGGCAGGAATCCAAGACAGGAACCTGAAGGCAGGAGCCACTTGCTGGCTTGTGTGACCATGCTGTTGACTTCGATATACAGCCCAGGACCATCTGCTCAGATAATGGTGCTGCCCATGGTAGGGTACCTCTCTTACTTCAATTAACAATCCAGACAGTCCCTCACATACATGTTCACAGACCAAACTGCTAGAGACAATTATTCAGTGAAGAGTCTTCTTTTGTTCAGGTGATTCTTGGCTGAATCAAGTTGACAGTTAATGCCAACTAGGATACCTGGTCAGATTCTCCAAACTTCCTAGATCCCTCTAGGAAGTGTGCTCTTTTCTCAAACGTACAGTGACTTTTCTATGATGAATTCAGAACCTCACTATGATCCCTCCTCTTTTCTTCCAATATACTTTTTTTAAATGTGTATGAGTGTATTCCTTCATGTATGTAAGTGCACCCATGTTGTGCAACACCGTGGAGGTCAGAAGAGGGCTTCGGAGTCCCCTGGAACTGGCGTTAAGCACGGTTCATAGCCACCATGTGGGTGCTGGGAATTGAACCTGGGTCCTCTGCAAGAGCAGTCAGCGCTCTTAACCACTGAGCCATCTCTCCAGCCCCCCAATATACTTTTCAGTCCTCTCCACAAATGTAAACATACTGACACACCTTTGTGGCAACTTAAACAGGTTCTACCTAGAAAGAAAATATAAATATATATAAATATAAATATATTTCTACCTAGAAAGAAAAAAAAAATATATCCTATCAGGTACTTAAAAGCAAGTACTTTGTGGATATCATTTCTTCCATTTGCCTCCCCACCATAGCACCAACAATTGAGCTAGCTGTAATTGGTATCCCCTGACCACCCAGGAAGAGCTAGAGGGTCTGAACATTTAAATAAGGGATGGTAGAGCAGAGACCCTTCTGAAACATGCAATATACTGTGTATATAAAGCACTGGAGGTTTGAATGCACAGGGTGGAGTGTATGTGAGGATTCATTCCTGGTTCCTCAAGGGCATTGTGCAGCTATCAGTAGTTGACTCCTAGGGGTCACCTGATTTGTATTCTCATGTGCAGTACTGAGAACATACTTCATAGGCTGCTCCTTCCGCCTTCTGGTCTAACAGTCCCTGAAACCAACTCAAATGTTTGAAGAAGATGTGATTGACAGTGACCACACAGGAGCCCTTCCCACAACCCCATCCATGTCTCCTTTCCTTGGTACTTGAATGGAAAACACCACAAACCAGTAGCAAATTAAGTAACAGGCAGGTCAGGAAGTTGAATCGCATGTTTTTAACATATGACCAGTTATATTTTTGAGTCAAATAGATGTAAAAATCTTCTCTCTGTTTTTCTGTTGGCCATAAGGAAGGACATTTTGGTATATTAGTGCTTCTATTTTAAAATTTCTTAAGTGCATGCAAATCTAATTACAGAAAACAATATTCTGCAAACCAACTCTAATTGCTTGTTTTTTAATCTACAAATAGTGACAATTATCCCCACAAAAGATATTCCATCCTTGGAATTGGAGGGTCAGATAAGAAAACAGTTTTTATGAATATATAAACAAATTATAGTTTCTAGCTATCAATTCCCCTGCTGTCTAAAGCCTATTAGTCTCCTTTTTGACAAAAATTTATAATGCCAACAATAACCAAAAGAATCACCAAAAGTCAGGGAGAAGTAAAGTACAACTCTCTGCCTGTACCATGAATAAAGTTTTATTGACATAAAGCCAGTATGTGTCTGGATGCTTTCAGACTACAGTAGAGAGTTGAATACTTATAGTGGAGACCATGTGGGCCCAAAAACCTGAGATATTATTATTCGTCCCTTTATAGAAGTTAGCCAAGCCCTGCACAAAAGGAATGTCCATATGACACCCCTTCCTGTTGTAAACTGAGGGACAACTCCCTTTGATTTTTAGAACTTTTCTTCTATTATAAAATCAGAGTTCAGCTGGGCATGATGGTGGTTGCATAACTTTAATTCTAGCACTTGGGAGGCAGAGGCAGGTGATCCCTGTGATATCAAGGCTAGCTTGGTCTACATAGTGAGTTCTAGGTCAGCTGGGGATATAGGGAGACTCTGTCTCAAAAAGACCAAAAAATTGAAGTTAACATAATTATGATGGCTGAGTTTCTGTGATTATTAAAAGGACATACTGTGGGTGGGTAGCAGGGGTCCTATCTAATTTATAAATAGCATATATATATATATATACATATGCTATTACTGTTTCTCCCAAAAGCTTACCATTAGCCACAAAATTAAACTGCCAAGTAAAGATGACTCTGTTGAGCACATCCTAGGGACACGTTTAGAGATAACCGTTTTTACCTGACAACTGAAAAATGTTTCTCCTGATTATTTATTTGATACTTTGACTTAGGTATGATGTCATCTCCTAAGCAAAAGCAAATGAGATGACATCTCAAAGCCTCATAACATTTAAAAAGAAACATTTCCTGAGTGAAGCAGGGTGTTTGTTACTGTGTTTTAAAGAGGGTCTCACTATGTAGCCCTGGCTGGCCTGGAACTCCTTATGTAGACCAGACTTGTCTTGAACTTTGGTGATCCTCTTGCTTCAGCCTTCCAAATGCTGGGATTACAAGCGATCAGCAGCCTGCTGAGATGAGCTTATTTTCACCTGAAAAAAATACTTAAGTAAGCCTGTAACTTGGTAAACAAACATACACACACTCACACACTTGAAGCTTCTCCAATATTTTAGGAATCCCAACTTCTTCATAATGAGTTGGCAATCAGGGAATTCCCAAATATGTACTTGTGAAATAGAGAATGAAGAGGTGGATGGATGGATAGATAAATGAATGGATAGGTAGATGGGTGGAAGGATGGATGGATGGCTAGATGGATATATGGATGGATGACTGGCTGGCTGGCTGGGTAGATGGGTGGAAGGATGGATGGATGGATGGCTAGATGGATATATGGATGGATGACTGGCTGGCTGGCTGGCTGGGTGGATGGATGGATGGATGGATGGATGGATAAGTGAGTGAGTGAATGAATGGATGGGTGGATGGATGAATAAAGAGCTATATTGATGGGTATATGGATGGGTGGATGAGTGAACGAACAGATGGATGGGTGGGTGGGTGGATGGATGGATGGATGGATGGATATAATAACATCCCTGAAGCATTTTAGTCTGAGAATAGTGTCTGGTCTAGTTGGTGTTCTACTTTACTTCAGTCTAATAACATCCCTGAAGCATATTAGTCTGAGAATAGTGTCTGGTCTAGTTGGTGTTCTACTTTACTTCAGTCTAATCCTGACCTGATGAGACTTAATGCGTGTACATTGTTCTTTACATTAAACTTTACAGTGAACCCATCATCATCGGATATCTCAGTCAGTAGAAATATATTCAAAGTATGCTTCCCCTCCAGCTGATTCTGTGCTATCCCTCTCATAAATGATAGTGTGAAGTCTGCCCATGTGTCCTGTGGTGGGTCTGACCTGCTCCGGAAGACCAAGCATGGGTGGTCCCTTCCCTAGTAATGGTGATTTGGGAACCAAACCCAGGTTCAGTGACTCCAACTCTGGGAGCCTTCAGTCACTGCTAGCTCTTGGTAGCCTTATAACTTAGACTTCCTGCATTTTTGTTAAAGGAATGTCTTCTGTGAGTGCTTCCAGAGGAGTAAATCCCAAGGATATAGAGCTGAACAGAACATCCCCATGCTGAGTCCTCTCAACATCTGCCTCTTCCTTTCCAGCCTGGATACCCACTATTACCACTTCAAGTTGACCAATAAAGGACGATGCGTTCAGCAATTATTCTGGATGAATGGTGATTTCCGCCCCCAGGACAAGCTAAATAAGAAGGAACCAGTTAAAAGGGGACCTGCTAGTGGACATCCCAAGTCCAAGGTCTCCAAAACACCTCCAGATCCAGGGAACCCCGTGTTTCAGCTCCACCCAGTCAGGATGGAATTGTACCCAGGCCAAACGATCGACGTAGTACTCAAAGGCTATTCTGCTACTCCTAGGGTAAGAGGACAGCATATTCTGAAGCTCTCTTTCTCCTAAATAAATCTTTGCTATACTCCATCTGTTTCTTAGGAAAGTCCTTTGACATTTATCTGAGGAAGGCGGTGGTTTCTCAAGGATTACACGAATGCTGAGTTACCATGGCAGCATCCGTTGCTTTCAAGGTTCAGCTCTGCTCAGTTTTCTGTTTGTTTCTATAACAACCATGACCCCAACCTTACAGGACCAGTTAAAGCAGGTCATTATCCCCACAGTCAATACTGATCAGCCAGCAAGTCACTGGTAGAGAAACATTCAGTTTTTTAGTCAGAGCAAATTTTCCTATTAACACTTAACAGTCTTATTTAATTAATAAAAAAACAAAAGAAAGGAAGGAAGGAAGGAAGGAAGGAAGGAAGGAAGGAAGGAAAACAAAAGAAAGGAAGAAAGGAAGGAAGGAAGGAAGGAAGGAAGGAAGGAAGGAAGGAAGGAAAGAAAACCTATACTTTCCTAGATGCTCTGGGCCGTCTCTTCTATCCAGATCTTGCTGCATCCATCCCTGGTTTTTTCTATCCTTGCCCGAATAAATAACATGCCATTTAGAATGCATGGATGAATGGTTGGTCTTCAGCAACTGATTTTCTGCTTCTGTTTGCATTGTCACTACATAGCGAGCTTAAGACGCTCAAGCAGCCCCACGCCACATGTCTTTTTCTTGTATTCCCTCATAGAATTTGGAAAACACCCAAAAAACAAACAAACAAAAAAAGACTTCTGAAGTTACTTAAGAGTCTTTCCCAATCCAGAAACAATGACTTTCTGAATGACAAATGATGTTTGCTTAAGCCCCTGCTAATGTTACCAAATTAGGAGGTGACACTCAATTTTCTCCTCATAAAATAAGAAGCACTGAGAAATTCGTTTTTCCAGAGACAAGGTGGGAAACCTGGTCTATTTTCTTGTTTCTTTAGGGTCATGGATTCCACTTTTTTTCTTTCACATTAATTCTTCGCAGAACATTTTTCTCCATGCATAAAAGGAATTAAGGGTGCCTCTCATCATGGAGTATTTATTTATTCTTATGTGCATGAGTATTTTGCCTCCATATATGTAAGTGTACTCATGAGCACAATGGATGCATATAAAGGCCAAAAGAGAGCATCACATCCCCTGGAACTGGAGATAAGGACTGTTGTTAACTACTGTGTAGATGCTGAGAACCAAACCCAGGTCCTCTGCAAGAGCAACCAGCGCTCTGAGCCACTGAGCCATCTCTCCAGCCTCTCAGTAGGAAGGCTTATATAATGTGTCCCTTTTCTCATTTTCTGGGAATCTGACAATGCTGATTGATGTACCCTGAGATAAACACTTCTGGGCACTGAGGATGCAGAAATAGAGCACAGCCCCAACCTTCAGACACTCGCACCCACAATAGGAGCACATTTATAATGTGGTTGCCAAGAGTTAAGCATGGGGTGTTAAATCTGACCTGCCAAGGGGACTACATTCAGGTTAAGCTTTACTAAATGGGTTTCCAAAGCAAATGAGACAGTTGAATTCATTAACATGTCCTAACCTGGACACTCCAGTCTGAGCTATTTATGATACGAATTCATTCTCTACTATATAAAGCTCTGGTTTTGGTTCCAAAGTTACACAGGTTTCTAATGCATGATTTTAAAGTGTGTAATTTAAAGTTGATCCAACCACACTTTCCAACTATCTTGATAAGAAGCTATGGCTATATGAAACCCTTTACTACTGTTTTACACCTAGGCTCTAGCATGGCTTCTGTTGTGTAAATGAACTTCACAAATGTGGAAATATATGAATTTTAATTGATTGTGTTCTCAGGGACAGTCAGAAATAAACATAGACCTTATCAATTCCATATTCACCCAACCCGAATGCCAAGTGTAATTGCAACAGAGAGCAGGGAAGGGTGCTTTTCCCTTGCGTCCTTAGACAGGTGGTTTGGTGGCAGTACTCTCTTGGTGGGTCATTAAGTTTTCTGAACTGCAGTTGTTCCAAAAATGCTGGTATATGTTGTGTGCAGAAAGTCAAAGAAAAGCTAGTGTGCCATGCCATCGTTGGGGCCCAGAAAGGGACAAGCTTGTTGATGTCCGTGAATGTCATCTGTGAATTCATAGCACCTCTTATCCAGCTCTCTACCAGACAGCTTCTATATCGACTGGAGAAGGTAAGTGGGGCTGTAGTGGGGAGGATTGGGTGCTCCAGCCAGGAGTTAGCGTGTCCACATTTCCATTTTGAAAACTAAATTAATTGCAATCCTGTTAACACCCATCACCCAAACAATGCTACTGCTTCTTTTTTTTCAAGCTTCAGAGGCCAGTACACATTTAACTAAAAATTCTGAATCTAAACCTGTATTCCCTTGAAATGGAAATACTGTTTCCACCATCCCTGATGTAAAGACCAAAGGGCAGGGGTACTTCAGTACATGGAAAATGCACGAATAGCCCATCATTTTGCTTTAGGTCAAATAAACATCACTGCAGAGAAAGGGTCGGAATAGAATCAGCAATAATTATAGTAATTAGTAAGAATTGCTACCACTTACTGATTACTATTGCTAAGCATTGAGCCATGTTCAATTACCTCCATTTTCCCAGGTGTCCTTCACAAAACCCAACATGGTAGGATCCATTAACATTCTTACAATACAAATAAGGAACCTGAGAGGTTGCCTAACATTGCTACAGTCCAAGTAGCCAACTGTTTGACTTGCACTGTTTCATTTATACAGCTATATATGTCTGTAGTTTTGCATAGCTATTAATGCCATGTAATAATGATAGAATAGGGGCTCAGGGGAGAGTTGGGAATGACTACTGCCCAGAGTAGGGGTAGGATGGTAAAGAGGCTGGGGGGGTGACACATCAGAAGAGGATGTGACCTGTTCCTAGGCAGATTTCCACCCTAGAATTATTTAGTGTTCAGAACAGAGATGAGTAGGGTATCTCTTCTGAGTCAGAGGCTATGCTGATGTTGAAAATCTGGTGAACCAGAGAGACACAATCAGAACTAAGAGACTGGTTGAGGTTACAGACTGTAAACAAATTAGGAAAATGTCATTATTTCAATTCCAATGATAAGCAGGTTCACAGGCTGCTCTAGAGATGTGACCTTAGTTGTACATGTGTTTGTGGGCAGCCCCCAGAGCAGGTGCCTCAAGCTGAGACTGAAGTAAAGGTAGATGTCAGTCTGATAACAAGGGAAGGGAAAGCAAAGAGCTCTGGGCAAAGGGATCAGGCCATTCTAAGAGCCTGTGTTGGGAAAGGGCCTGGTGAGTATGAAAAATTAAAAGGCTTCCCTGGATAGAGACTATGCCAAGAACAGCCAGAGTCACGTGGGAAGGAGACAAAGAATGATGGAGGCCTTTTGGAGGCAGGGCAGGGGCCAGGGGTGTATGGCTTGCTTGTTGTGTTATGACTTTGGGTTTCATTCTGGGAGGCTTCTAGATGGCTTCAAAAGAGGAGAGTGAAGTGGTTAGATTTATTCATGAGATCATTCATGCTGGTTGCTATGTAGAATCTTTATTCAGACACCTCCTGTGCCAGACACTGTCTGCTGCTAGGGATATGACAGTGAGGAGAGCCCTTCTCCGGTGAAGCTCACAGTCTGCTAAGAAGGCCAAGAATTAAATAGGCTACTGTTTCATAGTGTGACCTATGCTGTTGGAGAACAGTGTTGAGTATGATGATGCCTTATCAATCACCTGTGGGTCAAGTGGGGTTCCTTTCATTATGTCAGTTTTCAAGCAAATATTCATTTATTCTGGTAGTGGGATTTCATTGTACATGGTTCATTGAAATAAATCTGTTGAGCACCACCATGGGCAGGGTGCTGTGTCAGGATACGAATAAAAGAACTTTATAAAGTAGGGGGGTCATACAAGTTTTTGAGTGTCTTCTATGTACTGGGCACTGGAATGTGTATAGAGCATTCAAAGATGCTTCAAAGCTGCTGGCTTTGCCAACTCGCAGGGTGGGTGGGCATTGAGGGAGTACAATAAGGGTTTCAGTGGCATCAAAGCCAACCATGAATTTAACAAACTCCACAACACATAGCAGGAAAAACTGCAGGAGTTCCTGGAAAGTTTCATTGCTCTGTTTTCAATTCTTTCATTTTAAGTAATGAGAAAAGATATTTACTGGCAACAGCTGTGCTGAGTTTGGTAGCTTCGTATTCTCTGGAAACAAAGCTATTCAGAGGAATCCAGTGAGTATTTATTGAAAGCTATTCTACGCAAGACATTAAAATATATGTTACATATGCAGCAGAGTTTCTTATTAGTTTTTCCAAGCCCATAAACACTCTCAGAATATACAGACATTGCATCTTTTTGTCTCTTTATGTCCTTCTGCCTTTTGGCAAGGGCAGGGTGGCATATTCTCGCTTGAATATCTGCTGTTGGAGTTTATCACTAAATTAAAATGCACAACTTCTCTGAATGTGGCAATAACTTCTTATTGAGTTAAAAAGTGAATTATGGGCTAACAAGATGGTTCAGCAGGTAAAGGTGTTGCCACCAAGCCTGAGATGGCCTAAGTACAACCCCCAGGTCTGACATGGTGGAAGGGGAGAACCAACTGCCACAAGTTGTCCTCTGACCTCTACACACACACACACACACACACACACACACAATCAATGAAAAAAAGTGAACTGAGTCACAGCTCTTTGATATTTGTTTTCGCCTTTCTTTCCTTCTCCCCAGATATCAGAAGTCTGAAATATCCCTTCCACTTTCATTGCTCCTCTCCTACCCACATTTAGCCCATGTCAGGGATGAGGGAGAAATACAACTGCATTACCTGACATGCATGAGAGACTGGAGTCTTGATGTTCAGAGTTAATTGCCTAGCATACAACTGTTCTGCCTCCTTACTGTCAGCTCAAGGCAGTGTGTGCAGTTCCTTACATTAGAATATAAAGACCTGAAATGGTTTCCCCATTTGATTTTCTTTATGAAGTTTGTGCTGTTCATATGCCACGGACATGAAACCGCATCTCCGTAGGATTGAAAAGGTCAAGTGGAACTTCCAGCCACTTGGCTTCATGAAGATCCAGCAGCAGATTCTGTCTGCTGATATTTGGGGAGACAAACAACCCAGAGAGAAGGGGTCATTTTAAAATAGATTGATTTCTCTGGGTTTCCGCTCCATCCTGTCACTAACCTCCAAATGGCCTCTTGCCAAAACCAGCCAAGTGTGGCTTCTTCACTTCAGAGCCATCTGCAGTGACACAGCAGCCTTGAGGGAAGGTCACTGTGTGGACAGCTCTCCCAGCCTGCTACTTAGTAGGCCTGAATGTGCCTCCCCCACTCCCTGAACTGAGGTATACAACTTGCAAGTACAGGGGGAGTTGGTGTCCATGTTACCTCCTTAGAAGGAGAGGGGACCAAAGGCTAGCATGATGTGGCAAATGCCAGACCAAACTCCTGATGTAACGTTGGGAGTACACAGGAGTTAGCGGAGTGCCACCAAGGGAGGAGGCTGGAGCCAGCCGATAAAAATTACCCAAGTTCATCGAGGATTCCTGGAACCTAAGAACCATCATGGAACGAAGACCATGCTGGAAAAACAGCTGATGAGTCGGGTCAAAATATGAAGGCAGGAGATTTTACCGAAATTGGAACGGGGGAAAAAGCAAATCAAAACATGGAATTGCAGTTTTTAAAACACAGGATACTCTCTCTGATCTCAGCATGGTGCTGGCAGAGCTGGATCTCCACCTGTAGAAGAATGAAACTAGATCCTTATCTTTCGCCTTGCACAAAAGTCAACTCCAAATGGATCAAAGACCTCAGTGTGAAACTGGAAACCCTGAAACTATTGGAAGAAAATATTAGCAGTAACTTACAGGATATAGGTATAGGAAAGGATTTTCTAAATCAGAAGTTGCTCAGGAATTAAGGTCAGCAATCGATAATTGGGATCTTATTAAACAAAAAGCTTCCCTTTGAGTACAGCAAAAGAAACAATCAAAAAAGTGAAGAGAAAACCCACAGAATGGGAAAAAAATCTTCACCAGTGACACATCTGACAGGGGCTTAACATCCAGAATATATAAAGAACTCAAAAAACAAAGAATCGAGAAACCAGATGACCCAATTAAAAATGAGCTAAAGATCTAAACAGAGCATTCTCAAAGGAAGAAATAAAGATGACTAAGAAACATCTCAAAAAGTGTTCAACATCGCTAGTAATTAGGGAAATGCAAATTAAAACCACCCTAAGGTATCATCTTACCCCAATCAGACTGGCTAGGATCAAGAGAACAAATAATACCAAATGTTGGCGAGGATGTGGAAAAAGGGAAATACTCATTCACTGCTGGTGGGATTGCAAACTCGTGCAACCTCTATGGAAAACAGTTTGGAGAACTCTTAATGGCAGCTAATAACTGTCCGTAACTCCAGTTCCAGGGGATCTGACAGCCTCTTCTGTCCCCCGCAGGCATTGCACGACATGGGTGCACTTACCTACATGCAGGCAATACACACATACACATAAAATAAAAATAAAATAT